CTAGCTTCCTTAATCAAGATCCACCTCTTCAAGCCAAGGTGGAGATTGATCAAGGATACAAAATTTAGCCTCCATAACATAGGAAGCTTTTGCAAGATAATCAGCAATAACTAGATTTTCTCTAGGACTATACATTAGTAAAACCTGCCATTCTCTATGTATGATTTTCCTAACTTCATCTACCAAGTCACTGAAAGGGTAATTACAATTAGAGCCCCTATTACAAAAATCTAAAGCTTCAATACAATCTGAGTGCACAACAATGTTCCTATACCCTCTGCTCCAACAAAGATTAAGGCCCTGAATCATTGCAATTAATTCTGCCATAGCCGGGGGTACAGAAGAAAGTTTGCTGCTAAAACCAACAAGCCAGTTACCCATTGCATCTTTGACTATGCCCCCATAGCCACTCTTCCCATTTGGGAGCACAGAACCATCTACCTGTAGTTTAACATGTTCATCTGGTAAGGAGACAATTGGTGACATGTTCACAGAGTTTCTACCATAAAATTTACAGTGCTCCAGAAGATCTTTGTCCCAGCAAGCTTTGAAGAAAGACCTCTGCGCATTAGTGACATTGGTTGTGTCTGGATGATCAAAAAGTTTGTTGCAACGTGCTACCCAGATGTCCCAACAAACATAACCAAATAAGATGTTCCATTGAATCTTCTTTGTTTGACTGTAACCTGCTTCACGGTTTAGATTCCATTTGACCTAATCACTTCCCTGCAAAGAAAAGAAAGTAGACCAGTGGGTTGGGTCTACCAGTGTTTTCCATCTATCCTTGGCATTTACACAGTCTCTTATTAAATGCATCGAGTCTTCCTTGTTGTCGCATTCAAACGGGCATAAGGCCTGGTTAGAGAAACCTCTGCGCATCTTTAAATCTGCAGTGTGAGCACGTCCATGTGTGAACAACCACATGAAGGACTTTATTTTCTCTGGTACTTGCCACTTCCAAAGTGCTTTCCAAATGTTCTCTGGTTGCCTCTAAGTACCTGCAAATAAAAAATTGTATGCAGACTTGAAAGAAAAAGTACCATCAGTGGATGGTTTCCAAATATATCTATCCTCTCCTCTCTCCTCCCGGGGTAGATGTGCACTCACAATACAATTGATGATGTTATGGGGAAACCAGTTTTGAAGTTTAGCAATATTCCATCAACCACATGGATCCACATAATCCCTCACTGCTTCATTTCTATCAATAAAACCCTCCAAACCCTGAACAGCTTCTCTGAGAGGGAAATTTTTATTTGACCAATTCTCAAACCAAAAAGAAATGGTGCGACCATTCCCAATCTTCTTTCCTAAACCCTTTTTGAAATGTTCCCACATCTCACACATTCCTTTCCAAGTATGAGAAGAGTTTATTTTCTTTGAAAGATGAAGTTTCTGCACATCTTCAAAGCTATATTTTGATTTTAGCACTTTGACCCAAAGAGTCTCCTGTTCAGCAACAAAATTCCAGCATAGTTTAAGAATGAAAGCTTCATTTTGACGTCTTAGGTCTTTTATGCCTATGCCTCCTTCCTTTCTGTTCAAAGTTACTTGATCCCATGAGAGTAAGTGGAGTTTCTTTTGATGTTCCTTGTCACCCCAGAAAAACCTTCTGCTTTGTTTTTCAAGCTCTTTTAATAGCATCTTAGGGAGCAACATGGTTTGCATGTGATAGGAGGGTAGGCTGTTGAGAATCGCTTTGACAAGAGTAGCTCTGTCAGCTAGAGTGAGATGTTTCCCTTTCCATCTTGATAGTTTCTGTTGGGTTTTTTCCATAATGGGGGCAAAAGTATTGTAAGAAGCCCGTTTATGAAGGAGCGGGATGCCAAGGTACTTTCCCAAGTCTCCTGTCAGACTAACCCCCATTTTTTGACTCATTTCTTGGGCTCTAGAGAAGTGAACATTCTTGGAAAAATAAATTTTTGTTTTTGCTCTGTTCATTTTCTCTCCTGAAGCCTTGCAAAAAGTATCAATGCATTTGAGCATCACATCCACTTGAAAGGTAGAAGCTTCACCAAAAAGAATCAAGTCATCAGCAAAGAAGAGATGAGATATCAAAGGTCCGTCGGGCTTAATTTTAATAGGCTCCCAGTATCCTTCCAAGATAGCATCTATGATAATATGGCTAAGTTTCTCCATGCAGATGTTGAAAATGTATGGGGAAATAGGGTCCCCTTGTCTTATTCCTCTGGTTGGTTTGAATTCTTGTGTTTCTTCTCCATTCCATAGCATGCTAAAAGAGGGAGTTGAAATGTAAGCCATAATGAGATTGCACATAGGTTCTTCAATACCAATCTCCCTGATGGCATTATAGATGAAAGACCATTCAAGACGGTCATAAGCCTTTTCCAAATCTACCTTAATTTCCAACCACCCTTTCTGGCCTTTCTTAGTTCTCATGGAATGAATCACTTCTTGTGCAATGATAATATTATCGCTACTCTGCCTTCCCTTTATGAAGCTATACTAATACTTTCCAATAATCTTAGGGATAATGCTCTTTAATCTTCTACTAACAATTTTGGTGATGATCTTGTAGCTAACATTGCAGAGCGAGATTGGTCTAAAATCCTTGATGGTTACTGGGCAATCAACTTTGGGTATGAGCACTAAGTTGGTTTTGTTGATCAAATCATTTCATTCGGGAAAATCAAATTTTTCCTTAACCATCTGGCAAGTTGAGTTCCCAATAAGATTCCAATACTCTTGGTAGAAAAAAGCTTGTATTCCATCTGGGCCTGGGGCTTTGAAACCCCCTAGGTCAAAAACTGCATCCTTAATTTCTTCCTCATATACTACTGTAGAGAGAAGGTGTCTATCCTCCTCACTCAAGGCTGGAAACCCAGTGTCTGTGTCAACATGAGCGGGGTTTGTTATCTCACTCTTGAAAAGGTTCTTGTAGTAGTTGAAGGCTAAGTTTTTCATTTCATCTTGATCCATTATCCAATCTCCCTGATCATTTTGGAGCCCATCAATTCTACTTTTCTTTCTCTTAATGATTGTAGAATTGTGGAAGTATTTGCTATTTTTATCCCCCCATGTAAGCCAGTCACATCTTGATTTTTGGTACCATAATAGTTCTTCTTGGGCAATGACTTTGTTATATTCCTTCCAAAGATCATGTTCTGTTTGAAACAAATATTGATTATCCCTCCTTCCTCTTACACGCTCTATTCCTTCAATTCTTTTTAGTAACTTTTGCTTTCTTCTTGGGATATTACGTATTCGAGAATTATTCCATGAATCAGCTTCCTGACTGAAAGTTTTAACTTTTTCCTCCCAAGTCTCTTTCTCCCAGCTTTTCTTTATAACATCAATGAAGTCCTCCTCTAAAAGCCAACCAGCTTGGCATCTAAAAAGGGCCTTGACAGTTTTGCGAGTATGGTCTGGGGCTGAATTGATGAATAAGGGTCTATGATCAGATCCAAATTTGCTCAGGTGGAAGACTTTGGAGAAGGGAAACAAATTATTCCATTGTAAATTGGTGAAGGCCCAATCAATTTTTTCTTTCATCATGTTTCTCTCTTAAGTGTATCTTTCTCCCACTACTTCTAACTCCATGAGATTAGTATTAGCTATAGATTCTCTAAATTGTTTCATGGTAGTGTAGTTAGGGCAAGAACCACCCACTTTATCAGATTCATATAGGTAGGAGTTGAAATCGCCTGCTACAATCCAAGGCTCTTGAGTTTGGTCATTTAGAATTCCAATATCATCCCAAAGTTCTTTCCTCTTCATAACACAAGGTTCAACATAGATGCATGTAAGTAGGCACTTGAAATTTTCCTTTAAAGAGAACACTTTAACATGGAGCAACTGAGTAGTTGAATGAATATGTTGAACAAAAAATTCAGACTCATTCCAAAGAAGCCAAATCCCCCCTGCATACCCAATTGATTCAAGTCTGATCCAATTACTATGTCCCAACCTCCTGACAATTTTATTTGCTTTATCCCCACTCACTCTCGTCTCGAGAATAACCAAGATGTCAACACTTCTTCTACCAATCAAATCTTTCACTCTTCAGGGAAAATTTTTTGAGGCAGCCCCTCTAGAATTCCAAATAATCAAATTCATTAAGAAATATGTTGAAAGGAGGGAGATATAGAAGGGAAACCTCTTACTTGGCCTCATGTGGGAGGGGTTCCGTCTGCTTCTTAGCAACTATCAACTCTTCTGCTACATCTTGTGTCTCAAACCATTGATCACTGTTTTCTATCACCTCTGTAATTTCTTGACTCAAATTTGAGGCTATTTCACAATCAGGGGGTTCCTTCATTGGAGAGTTAACCTACTTTTCTAGTGTCACTTGCAGATTTTGAACCACCAGACGTTGTTGGCTTTTTGGGCTTTTCTGAGATTGTGGCTCTTTTATTCCAGCACCAACATCTGGGCTTCTTTTAATATTTCTTTCTTCAGAAATCGTCAAATCCATATTTGTGATGGACCCAATCACAAGTTGGTGCAATCTGTTGGGTTGTTTTTTCTTTAAAATTGGTGAGACTATTTTGGGCCTCGTCCCCATGCTCCTCTTTTTACCACCAAGGCTTTTCTTCTCCACTTGCCAGTTTTTTTCCATTATACTTAGGCTCTCTTGATTAAAACCCACGTTTTTAGGCCCATGATAGGTGTCTTTTAGTACCTTGCTTTTTCTCTCCTTTTCTACCTTTCTTTGACTGCCATTCTCTTTCATATCTTGTACCTTGCTCTTGCTACTTTCCCCTTTTTCTGTTGAACTAGTCCCTTGAAAGGACACTTTGGGTGCTGTAAAGATTTTTTCCTTTCCCAGTTCAGATGTAGCTTCTTTTTGTCTCCATTCAGTCACGGGAGTCTTTTTTTTGTTAGTTCTTCTTTTTAGAGTTCCTGACATCTTGTTCAGTTTTAGTTTCTCTCAGTATTTCAAATCTCGTCCCACCATTTCCTTTCTGATCAAAGGTCTTTGACTTCTCTTCCCCATTTGTCTTCATATGCTGTTTCTTCTCTGCTTCCCCCTTGTTAGGTCATTGTCTGAATGTCTTTTTAGCCTTCATCCATGTACCAAATTCTTTAGTGATTGAGACACCTAGCACTCCAACCAATGGATGACGTGGCTGGTCTTCAGCAGCTGTTTCCGGTCTCTCTTTCTCCAGTGAGTTCATGTCTGGCGAGGCTTGAGTTTTTTCCAGTTCTGCATTGAGTGGACAATCTTCTTGGGTATGCCCATATTTCCCACATTTGAAGCAAATAATGTCTAGGCCTTCATATTCAACTGTGTATACGGTTCTCCTGATAACAAACTTGGACTGCAGCTTTTTATTTAGATCAATCTCAACGCTTACCCTTGCAAATTTTCCCCTTTCTACCATATTACTGGAGCTTTGGTAGTGTGCCAGAGTATTTAGATCAACTTTAAGAGCACGTCCGATCATATTGCCCAGCTCCAGAAGACACTCCTCTGAGTAGCAGTGAATTGGTAGAGTCGGTACCCTCACCCATATTGCAAGCTTCTTAACTTTGTTGTAGTCGGGATTAAAGTTTGGGCTCCATCTTTGCACAGCTAGGTAGTGCCCCTGTATGATCCAAGGTCCATCGTAAAGTAGTCTCTTATTCAGCTCCCTGTTTGTGGTTCTGAACACAAAATAGTTATTTGGCAAGTCGACTAGCTCAAAGTTGTCATATTTCAGCATCCATATGACCCGGTCTTTCATCATTTGTAGGCTGGTAGCTCTGCCCATTAACGTGATGATCAGAGCATCCTTCCATGGCATACATAACTCCCTCAGTCTCTCATCCGAAATGTTAAGCTTCGGAAGACTGTCAAAAACTAAAAAAGAGGAGCATTTTCTTCTTCTTCAGCTAGCCATTCCATCATCTGTTTTTCATAGTCCAGATCATTGTTCACATTGTCATCTCTTCCAAGTAGCTTAGCTTTATATGAGATTTGGGTCTTGATTTGCGTCCTCTGTTTTTGCTGGGTCTTCGCTTCAGAGTTTGTCACTTTCTCATTCTTCTCCTTATCCGGTGATTCCTCCATTATGACATCATCATCCATTTTTTTGATGTTTCTTCCAAGTATCTCGTCTTCTTCCATCGTTGAATCATTGTTGTTTTCATTATGGCTTCCATTGGCATCAGTTGCATTTGAGTGCAAACCCTCTCTCTCCGTGTTTCTCTCTCTACTCGCCATCTCTCCCTCTAAACCCTTGACTGATTTCACATTTGAATACCAACAGCATTAAACAATTTTTTTTTATCTATGCTTTCTGGGCAATTTATCTCAAAATTGTTTAAATTGGAATACCACCTATGATCTTAGTTGATCTTAGTTATAAAAGTTAGTTGATTAATTTGAGAAGATAAAAAATAAATTAAGTTAGTTATTTGTAATAAATATGTTGTTTTTTTCCAAAATATCCTTACTAATCAAGTATATTGGTTAGAACTACTATTATTAAAAAAAAATATCTTGAAAAAAAAAATATAAATATGAGAGATAAAATAAATTAAGATCTTATATTTAAAATGAAAATAAAAATTAAATAATATTAGACTGGTAGGCGGGTTTTTGAGAAAAAGTCCAAATAAAATATCGCCCCAATACAAAAAATGACCCCTAGGCAGGGATAGCAATAATTAATCCATATCAATTGGACTGGACATAAATTGATCCAGCATCCACATCCATATTGGACCTAAAATGAAGTTTGACAATGTCAGCCCCATGATTGCTTGGAGGGGGGGGGGGGAACAAGGTTAAAAAGAACTAATGGCTAAAACATTGGGGGAAAATGACTAAACTCAGAATCTGCAATTTTTTTTTCATGATTCTGTAACTTTTCTTCTAAGTTATGTCATGTTACTCAACCATTGGAATCATTTGGTCCTTTTGACCCACTTTTTTTTTTTTTTTTAACTTTTGACCATTGGTAAGGTAATCGATGATAGACTTAAACATTTGGTCCCTGTAGAATTGGGCTTGCTATAACAAACTTATGTTGGAAACATATTATTTTCAGAGTTGACAGGGCCAATGCAATATCTGTTTGGAATACTGTTATAAAAAACCCCTTTAGGGGTATTTAATTAATGAAATGAACATGTGTTTATAATATCATATTATATTATTAAAATTAAACTACAAATGATTGTAATTTGACGTATTTAATGCGTTTATAGGTGTATATATATAAAGTTATAAAATCAAGATTAAATTATAAAAACACGTTTTAAAAGAATGTTTTGCTGAAGAGAGTGTTAGAAATGAATAATTTTTGACATTGAGGAGTAACTAAAAATTAAAAATGATCTCGTAATATATATATAATAAGTAGCACGAAGACCTTATGTAGCTTGTAAATAACTGTTCAAACATTTGAAACTTTACGGTAAACTTCTTAGAATTTCTACATTTATGTAGACAGCTTTTTTTTTTGGGTATTATTTATTTGCAAATAACTTAAAATTTAAGTAGATTATTAGCATATAATTCAAGGTTTGAGTTGGAGTTATTTGTATATACTTAAAAATTTATTAAATTTATTACTCCTTCGATCCTTAATATAAGACTTATTTAATTAATTTGATTAGATCAAGAAAGTTAGGTAAGTTGGTTAATTATAAAAAATATGACATGTGTTTCCTAGAATACCATAATTATCTTTCTTAATATCCTCTCTCCCTCTTCTACTTAATTATGGTTGAGAGAGTATTTATAGGGGTAGTTTAGAAAAAATTAATAAATATGAGAAATATGTCTTATATTTAGGAGTAAAATCAACTCAACAATTAGGTTTTATATTAAGTATCGGAGGAGTATTAAATTTTCAAGGTAAAGAGAGTTATCTGTGGTTGATTGAAAAAAAAGAGAGTTATTTTTACATAGTTTAAAATTGAGAAGAATTTTGTAAATGTAATAATTGGTTTAAGAAGTTGGTTTTTGTTTTAAATATAAAGCCTTAACTAATTTTATCTACCATATTTATCATTTTTCCTGATTTACTTTATCTAACTTATAAACCAATATATAATTTAATGGTATATAGAATATTTCCAAAAAACCAAGTCACATTTATTAAAATAAAATAATTTACTTAGCTTTGTTAATATATTCAAATTAGTTAAGTTACTTTTACATTAATGATTCGAAGGGCATAATTTGGGGGAAAGACATCTCTCCTACCCCTAAAATGAACAACAAATTAATCTTATTATGTCTATTTGCTACACCTTGAGAAACAGAGCAACACAGAACAGAACACCACAAAACAGAGGCAAAGAAGCAAGAACATGAAGCAGTGAGGAAAACGTGCTTCTTGAAAGTTTCAAAATAAAACAACCAAGTCAAATATCATGCAACACGTTAATGAGTCTCACAAGGTAAAGTATTGAGTTTTTTTCCCCTCAGCCAGGCACATGTATTTTTTTTATTATTAGAGACAGTCTTATTTAAAACATTATTACTTTCTACTAAAAATTTAAATTTAAATTTGTCATGAATATTGAGTTGAGTTGCTGGAATTTGAAGCTTTGGGACAAAAATGATCTGTTTCTGCCTTTGGGCTACTTCTTTGGCGGCCTCACAGTTATCCAATCACTGCTCAGCTTGATGGGGCTGTTAAGCAAAGCCTTAGTGGACTTATTATACAATGAAACCCATTATTACAAAACCCAAAATCATTCTAAATATTGTTTCTGTCACACTATTGAAGAGCATTTTTTGTACAAAAAAAAAAAGCAGAGCAATTTACAATCATTTTGGCATTGATGGACGACAATTAAATTAATATTGCGATTCGTACCCATAATTGTGGACGACAATTATTTTTCCGAAATTGGCATAACTTAAATATTTGCTATACTTTTTGACAAAGGCCCATTCGTAAAGCCGAAATTATTTGAAGTTGCCCAAAAGGTATTTTTCATATACAATTTTTTTTTTGTATTTTCGACAAAATAAATGGCACCATAGAGACATAGACTGTTTTTCCAAAGTTATGATATTTCAGAATAGAAAGTGAAAGTGGGTTGAAGGTTGCGAAACTTTTTCCCTACTTTATATTATATTGTGTGACCTTTGTTTCATATGATTAAAATGTTAGGCTTGTGAAGAACTATCCTAGTCTTATTTTTTCGAACTTCAAATTTATTTTAGAATATCATAAATACATACATAACAAGATAATGTTAAGATATGCTAAATAAATTAGTTTAGTTAATGCTCTTTCACCCAAGAGCATCATGTGTCTCTTTTTCTTTTTTCTTTTTTTGGGTCCCAAAAAACTTGGTGAAAACTCCGTTTTATTGTGCTCAATTGCTCATTAGATTGTTGAGCAAATATTCCTTTAAACACGTGTTAAATGTATAAGATAAGTTAATTTCATTGATTTTGAATGCGCCCCTAAATATTCCAAGTAATTAATTAATTAAGGTAATAAGAAATATTATGAAATGTTGGGAAGCGGTGATTCTACAATATCTCAATGGCATAAGAAATAACAAAATGTCCTCCCTCCTACACCCATTGCCAAAACAAATTCTTCTCATCCTCAAACGAGCCCTTGTCATTATTTTCAATGAACTTCCATAATTACCTGACCAGTTGAGTTGTTGGAGTTTGATGCTGCTGGACGGATTTGAGAAACGTAAAAAGTTTCCAAACCTTTGACGCCATTCCACATATTTTTACGGGACAAGGGTTATCGTCCCTTGGAATGAGACCAAGGATTCCTGTGTGTGCGTGTGTGTGTGAGTGTAACACACATTCATACTTCAATGATCGATCCTTTGAAATGACAACAAAGAATTATAACGTGTCCATTTAGACCAAATGTTAAATGGCGGAAAAAGAGACCAAATTACAAGATTTTAGTCCAAGCATGCAAACTGAAGAATGTTAATGCTTCCTTGATTGTTTATGCTTTGAATTTTCATCATGTTGTTTTCCAAATTTTAGATAGATGTTATTAAATAGATGTGATTAAGATCTAAAATAGTGTGAAAGGAAATGGGAGGCAAAACTCAAAAAGAAAATATAATTCTTACATCGTATATAGATTTTTTTTCTTTTCTCTTGGTATGTACTCCTCTGGTCCTTAATATAGAACCCAATTTTTGAGTTAGTTTTGGTTCTAAATAGAAAAACCATTTCTCATATTTATCAGTCTTTTTTAAATTATCCTTATAGATACTCCTTCAACTATAATCAAATAGAAGAGGGAGATGAGGTATTAAGAAAGATGATTATTGTGTTCTAAGAAAAATGTGTCATTTTTCTTATAATTAACTAATTTACCTAACTTTCTTAATCTAACCAAATTAGTTAAATGGGTCTTATATTAAGGATCAGAGGAGTATATTTTTCCCCCTATCAGAACAAGTAAATGGAAATGGAGGAATATAAGGCCTTGTTTGATTTCCTCACTACCTCGACGTCTCCAGTCTCCGACCAGACCCCACATAAATTTCACGATGAAACAGAGAGAAATCGCAAGAACTAGCGGTAAACACATAGAAGAGGAGGAGGAGAAAGAGAATACCTTGGCTTAATGGACTAGAGACGCTACGCCAGAGAAGACAGCCACGATGCATCGGCAATATAATGAAGAGCAATGCGTGAGGGGGCGGCGATGAAAATTTTGCGTCTGGGACGGTGCCCAAGTGCCAGCTCTGTCACATCTTACTATCGAATTCACTTAGGGTTTAATTAAAACCATTTTAGACCACATTGGATGGTCTT